TAACAACCAATAGGATTCTCTGCGAGCAGTGTTGGGTAGCGCCCAAAGAGCCTAAAAGCTCCCCAAGCCAGCTTTTTTACTTCTATCTGTAAGGATCCTCCGAAATGAGAGCCAGGATTGGTGTTGGTTGGGGCCATAAACTTGAGTTTTGTAAAGGTAACTTTTGCAATGATTTTTACTGCCAAAAACATGTGAGTTTTTTGTTCGTTATCAAATACAACCTAAATGATGGTCATAAAAACTTTTTAATATGCTTTCTCAAGGAAATGATAAAATTCCTGCACAGACTGCAGTTCACCAATTAGATACATTACACATTCCTATGCATCTCCTTGCTGGGATGAGAGATGACTTGAGGAGAAGAAGATTGCGCTTCAAGTTTCTGACTGTGGAAAAGAGGAAAATGAGCACCTTGGGACGTAATTGTATAGCCAAAAGGACCTTAGTCTGAGCGGTTGATGCGACGCAGCTTCACGCAGCGCTATGCTCTTTGCATATTTATTTGTTTAAGCACTTGCTTTCCTGTTTGGTAATTGCTTCTCGCTCTGCAGCTGGCAGGACCTCAGCTCACCTCACCTCGCTCTGCACCTTCCTGCCACACCTTCCCGCACGTGCTTGTGCTCGTATTAATTATTCATTTGGGACTGGTTCGTGCGACTAATCTAAAAATGCCACTTGCGGCACATTTCGATTGTGGTTTTTAGCATTTTTTGCTTGAAAGAGATACAATAACTGACTCGAAAGAGGCAGTCTTTCTGTCAGGTGGCTATAATACTAATGGCCTGCTTATAATACCAATTTCGTTAGATGATTGGAATAATATCTTTTTTGCTGACCTTCTGTCACATATGATATCACAATGTGATATGATCACATCTGATCCCCCTCCTCATTCTAAGCTACATTCTTGAATACTTTAAAATGAATTGAAAATGGGCAGTAGGGTATAATAGTTTTTTGACAGATATAGGCATCTCCAACACGATAAGGTATATGGTATATATTTATAATAAGAGCGGATTCCATATAGATATGTCCGTTTGTCCGCACTTCTGACAGACTATATAGGCTCAGAAACTGCAAAAGCTTGCGACTTGATATTAGAAATATGTTTCCTCCTATACCATAAAAGGAACAAGCTTATCCTTTTTCTTTCAATATCGTTGCCCATTTCCAAAATATCAATAAATGTTCATTTTGAGATATGGCTTTTTTAAGCACAGCTCGAATACAACAGGAACTAGATAAATCAAATTGAGGTATGCATAGATCAAGAATATTTCACTTTTTGGATATCTCTATTCATTCCGATACTTAAGTTCGATTCCTAATCATGGCCCGATTTTTATATAATTTTGCTTGTTTGTTGGAATCAATATCATCATAGTTAAGTCGTAGTCAGCTATATGATATAAAGGTCAGATAAGGCAAGTTACAAAAGATATGACGCCTTCACTGAAAAAACTACATTTCCGTCAGACATACAACCAGGGCTATGTCTACTCGGTTGCACATAAAACTCAAGACAATTCATATACGTTTTATTGGATAGAATAAGTCTCTCCGTCTTGTGTGTTACACATGTCCATATGAGGGAGGCAACTATAGACATTCTTGCATGCATATTGCATTCTTACAAATTAAGAGGTGCAACAGCAGCAAACACAAAAAAAAAATAAATAAAGCTGCATCAATGTTAGAGATATCATATGATTAATTGTTTGTTCTTCAGAGGCCTGGCATTGACTTACTTACCAAAATGTCAATGCCTCGTGCGGAGCGGACGTAGATTAAATCGCTTTGAGTGTTTATATCTAGTAAATAGTGGCAGCAACGCGTGAGCATAGATTAGTCAAGAAGATGTACACCAACAATAAACAAGAAAGCTCCGCTTACATCAGCACGCCGAATACTAAATACTCTAGCTAACTTGGCTTAGAATTCTGAAAAACAACCTTATCTCCCCATTGCACTCAAAGGCTGAAATGATGTATTAACATGATGTCGATATCGGTTTGCAGATGATAATTCTTAATATTCTTAATTGAGTTTAAGAATTCTTGAAAAAAAAGATGTATTTTCTTTATCCATTTTCGCCGGATCTATATGCTATATGTTATGAGGGTTTCTTCCAGCTGACTTTGAAATATTTACTACCTACAACAAATAAAAGGAGCCATATTTTATTTTATTACACCAGCTGATGTAGAAATGAGTACAAAACGAGAATATGAGTACCTAAAGAATGGTCAATTGGAAAAGAAAACGAGCTTTTATGGTTGAGTGCAAAAAAGTCAACTGTGACAAAAACAATTTCGCTGAACTGCAACGGCTTTGTGTTGTTGTTGTGTATCTTAATTTACATAGATACGCGAGTATTCGCAGTCAGCCACAGTTGTTCCCCGCCCGTTTCTCGACGTGCAACTAATTAACATTTCTCGATGAGAGTTCGAAAAGCGTTTCAAGCTGTTGCCGCAGATTGGCTAACGATTTTTAATGTGTGTCGAATGAATATATAGAGTATCGAATGTCGTACATACTTAGTTTGTGCATCTGTATGTTGGCGCTGTCAATTTTGGCGATGAGTTTTGAAACAATCTGACGCCAGATACGAGCGACAATGGCAATGCCATCGCATTGCATCGCATCGCAACGCGTTGGCAGCTGCGTTAGTGTTAGCTGGCGGTGTCATTTTGTGGCTAAATACCGCAAATTGCGCTACTTTGGCAGCAATTACAAAAACTGCTAAACATGACAACATGTCTCCCAGCGAAATCAAGCTAAACCGCGGCCGCTGTCGCAGTCGCAGCCGCAGAATGCACTGAACAATTCGTTCGACTCCATGTGCGTCTCGTTAATGCGTATTTTGAATACTCGTTACCCCCAACAAAAAAAAAGGAGTATCATTTTGGCTAGGTGCTGCCATGGAAGAGCATAGCTGATCCTGATATATTCTGCATCACAATTTCAAATCAAACTCCTATAGTCAAAAAAAATTCCTACGTGAAAACAGAGTAACGCGCAGTCTGAACTTTCTTACTTGTTATACCTTGTATCAATAGAATCATCTGTTCATAATATGGAACTTGTAGCATCAACAGGCCATCTCGATTGTGCTCCTTTATATATTTGATAGCCTCTCTTTGGTTCTACAACTGAAATAGTTAGATATTTTACAATAATATTCCATATCATATATAAGAGTAGGGCATCTCCCAGTCGAGCAAGCTCGACTTAAGCATTCGCACTGGCTAATCGGCTTTTGTACATCTACGTAATTTTACACTTAGGAATTGACCACCAACGAGACCAGCATAGATCTGACCAATTTGGAAGAGAATGCCTTATACCGCATTATGGTTGTGGCGCGTGGAAAATTTGGCACATCGCTGCCGGCGTCAATGCTGCTGATAAATACGACAAGTGCTGGCGAAAAAGGTAAGTCATTGAGGTCTTTGCATTTGGGGTCAACTCGAACTCGAGCTCGGACTGTCAATGCCGCGAGATTTGCTTGCTTGCTTTTGGTCAGACAAGTTGCTAATTTGTTGCACTTTGCAGCTGAATATCAAAACGGAACCTGGGGCGCGCCATCGCCGCCTCACTCTCTGACCGTGCTTACCCATAGCGCGACCTGGATGCAGCTGACCTGGCAGCCGTCAGAGTATTCGCATCCGCACGAGCGCATTACCTACAGGTGAGCTAGAGTCTTGGTGAGGGGATAACCTGGGCCGTGTAAGCATTATGTGTGACTAAGCCGGGCTATTGCAGAGTCTACCACAAGGCGATGAACGCAGCGGACTTTACCAAAATTGAGACGAAATTGGCCTGGCTGCGCATGACTAATCTGAAGCCCAGCTCGCAGCATGTGCTCTATGTGGAGGCGGTTGGCGAGCGGGCGACATCGCTGCCCTCAGAGACGCTTGTGGCCTGGACGGATCCCGCGCTGCCCGCCTTCGTGGATGTAATTTGTTTAATTGTTGCCTAGACTGCTAAAAGAGTTGCCATTGAAAATCCCTTTCCGACAGCCCCCAACAGTGCATCCGGTCGACAACATACCCGAGGGCGGTTCTATGACTATTCTGTGTCTGGCTCTGGGCAACCCGGCGCCCACAATATCGCTGTACGTGGGCGGTCACTTGGTGCGGCAGGACACTTCCCGGCACATGGTGACAGTCATACACAATGTCTCCGCGGACATGGAGCACGTTTCGTGCTACGCGGACAATGGCTATGGTGTACCCATGCAAGCCACCAGACGCGTTAATATCTGCTGTAAGTTGTGACCGAATCAACACACGAACAAATCAAGCCCTCAATGCGGTTGACCCTTTCAACAGATCCACCCAAGATTCAAGCGGCTGGCATAACTGTCGCCTCCATTGGGGATGAGGTGGAGCTGCGTTGCATGGTCGACTCGAAACCGGCGCCCAAGACCATTTTCTGGCGCGATCACGACGGCCGCGTGCCCGTGCCACAGGGCGGCAACTATTACGTGTCGGTCACGAATGTGTCCACAATTTACGCAATGTCGCTACGCATCAGCAAGCTGCAGGCCAACGATGTGGGTGACTATTTCTGCCATGCAGAGAATCCGTTTGGCTCGTCCACGACGCCGGTATCGGTGCGTATACGCAATACGCCGAATCTAAGCCGGAATGTATCGCAATGCTGCGCCGAGCAAAACGTCTCGCTGACATGTCGGGATGCTTGCACGTACTACGTGGACTTTGACGCCATAGCCAACAGACCCGAGTGCATCGTCGACTTTGACAAGTTGATGAAGTGCGCCGCCGACGGTTCGGACCATCGATCTTGTTGCGCGGACGAGCAGGTGCCACGCAAATGCTTGAACTGGTGTCGCGGCGATTCGGTGCGCTCGAAGGAAATCTGTAGTCTGCAGTATGCCAGGACCATCATTGGCTGCTTCGAGAAGAACCGCGACCGCCTGCCGGGGCCCCCAGAGAATGTTGTCGTGAGCGTGCTCTCGGACAACGAGGTGAACATTAAGTAAGTGGCCAGCTGGCAAAGTTTCTTCAATTCAATTCATTTCATTTCATTCCGACCTATCAAATTTAATCTCTTAACTATGTCCGGCCCACACACACATTTTCATTGCTTTGCCGGAACTGAACTCATCCATTTTCCTCACAAGCCAATACATTCATTACCCTCCTGTGCCGATTCTGTATGCCAGAAGTCGCCACCAGTCCGTGCGTGCCCGCTGCTGCTGCTGCTGACTGCACTAATAGACCGCAAAATCCATTAAAGCTGAGATTTTTATCTCACTTTAATACACTTAGTCAACGTCAAAGGTTGCGCACACAAGCTCGGATCGGTTCTTGTGCACAGCGGATAGCAGATGGAGGCTGCTAGCTGCTAGCTGGTGGATGGTGGATAGTCAGCAGTGGGCGTTGGGCGGTGGGTTGGTCCAGATGCCAGTCCGCATTAAATTTATTAAAATTCCAGACAAGTTTTGCGCCTGCAACAATATTACCACTCATAATATGGCGCCATGCACACGGTCTGAAAACTATTTCATTACAGATGGGATGCTCCAACAAAGAATCCAAATGCCGTCGACGGCTATAGAATATATTACCATGAGGCCGCCTTGCTGCCGCCATTGTCGGCGGCGCAGCCAAACGAATCTTCGATGGAGCCTGCCCTGGATACACTCGCCTCCATGAATAATGCAACAAGTATGGGCAACAGCAATAACAACAGCAACAACAACAGAATAGCTGGCGCTGTGGAAATTCAACGCATCGACGTAAAGGACACAACAATAAGCATTAATGGGCTGAAGAAGGACGTGCTGTACGAGCTGGTGGTAAAGGCTGGCAATACATACGGTGGGTGAACTTTCGAATCAACTCGACTGTGTGCTGTGCATCAAGTTAAGGCTAGGCTTAATTTGGCGACTTCTCTCACAGGTGCCAGTGTACTTACCGATCCGATTAGATTCACCCTGGGCGAACAGCAAGTCACCTCGGCCACCAGCAGCTATTCCAGCGCCGTTGGCACAATCAGCGGCATTGTGGCAAGCATTTTGGCCATCCTCTTAGCGGCAGCCGCCATTGTCTTCTATCGTCGTCATCGCTCCCATCATGGCAAGGCGGGCGGTAATGGCAATGTGGCGTTCGAGAATCCTACCTATACCCGTGGCCTGGAGCAGGTGCAGGTATGTACATTGTCTATTAACTATTGCTATAATCTTGTCATAAGCCAGCCGCAAAGACTGTAAAACGTTGTGCTGCATAAATATACTTATTTACGCGCCTGATATAACTGCGATGTGTCTCTTTCTCCTTTTGTTGTTTTCAATTGTAAAATACAAACACACGCGTACACACACGTACACTCACTAAAGCTACCAACTGTGACATCGGCCATCACAGCACAAAATGGAAACAATCACACGCATGGCAGCAGCACAGGCAGCAGCCTGGGCGCACAGAATGGCAGCAACAGCCACAATCACAATGGCCTTGCAGCCACAATGACGACATCCGCATCGACGACAACGGCCGCGGCGCCTGATACGGGGACCACAGCCAAGGGCGGCAGGCATCAGCAGCAGCAGCGAAATGGCCGCGGTCGCTCAGATGCGGCGCATCAGTTTCACAACCCGCTTACTAACACGCAGTGCAATGAAGTAAATCCCTCAATTTATGAAGAGCTCAAACTTGGCCAAGAAGGTGCTGGATTTAGGAAACTTGTGCCATAAATGACAAGCGCGCACAACGCCTACAAGAACCGAAATTCCCAAACATCTCAAGTTTAGCTAGTTAGCTTACATATGTGTCTGTATGTACATCCGAATACATATATAGGCACATATGTTTGTACATACTTACATTCGTTCGTACAATGTAGACAATGTACAATCGCAAAATGTAGACATAGGCCGTGTTAACAGCGCGAAGCGCAGCCACAATCCCAAACTCACACACCCACAAATACGCACAGAACTCATATATACACACACACACAACATAAACAGACACACACACACACGCACGAACAGACAGACACGCTGACATCTTTACAGAATGCATTGCGAGAAATACCTGGGTAATATTGTGTAGAAAACGATTGCTAAGATTTGGTTAGTGTAAAGTAACAAATTTGTAGTATGTAACTGTGATTGAAAATTGTGTAAAATAAATTTAATTGGTAACAGTACTAAGCTACTCGTGTAAGCTAAAAATTGATTTAAAACTAAAGTTGCCACTGCTTTTGTTCAGTGTAATTTGAAGTAAACGCACTGTTTAATATAACAATTTAATAAAAGTAATATAAAAGGAACTGGTTGATAAAGCAAAATTAACGAAGATCCCTGCTTACACAATAAATAAAAATACTATATACATACATACATATGTATGCATATATATATATGTTGTATGTGTATATGTAAATACATATGTATGTACCAAGTGTTGCCAAATATTGCTTAAAAAAAGTAACTGAATCCAACGTTGATAGCTTAAAATAGATGTATGTACATATGTATGTATGTATATGCCTTCTGAGCACAAATTACCTAGGCAGTTCATGGTTCGCGATGTTGGGGCACAAAATTCAAAGTGTTGCCTCTCTTGCGCACTTTCCTTTGAAGTAGTCGAGGGGGGAGGCGCACTTGGTTGTTTGGGCAATGCATCGCACGTTTTAAGTCAAGCAACTTTGCGCAGACTGGCAGTAGGTGCGAAATTTGTTTGCAGAATCAGAAATGCACTTTTAAATGCAGCGACTAAAATTTAGATCATCCATCCGCGCAATCTAAAGCTTTTGCTTATATTGTTTCGACATTATTTAATCGATTACAACAACACACGACTCAGACACGATAATTTTTGCTATCGGTAGACGATGAGCAGAGTTGCATTGATTACTGAAAACGAGCTCATGTGCAAAAAAAACGCGTTAATAAAAGCTAAATCAGTTTAAAAAGTGAATGAAATGTAGACACCAACAAATTTGTGTTAGTGTTAGTGGACGATCAGTGCAAATAGCCAAATAGCTAGTAAATAAATAATCTAGTCCCCTGGCTTTAATATATGCTGTAGTCGGGAGGCTGGCACAAGAGGCTGCATCCCTTATGCGTTATTAAAATAATTTGAGTAAGCAGACAAGATAAGCCCTAATGCGCTATGATCTTATGCTGATATGGATCAGGTGCTCGTATACCAGCGGGTAAGTAACATCTTACATTTAACCCTCCCAGCCTGGGCTCCGGAGATTAACATAATTGAGTTATGCATAAGCGGCGACACTTGGGCCTCATCCAACCCCTCACAGTACACATTCATGGCATAAACAAAGTGGGTTGTGTGATCCTATGTGGCAACGAGGCAAACAGGCCATATCCATATTCATATCCAATAGCCTTTTGAAATGCTCACGCTTGTTACTTTTATGGTCGGCCTCAATATGCTGCTAAGCAGATGGAGCCGTTTTGGCTTTCGCTCTTGGACTCATCAAAGGCTGCTTTCTGCTCGGCAATGTCCTTTTAGACTTGTGTTTCCGTTTCTAGAATGCTTGCACAGGGCATTGGCTCTGAATAAATGCCGCTTGAATTATGCAACACGTTTAAGTGCCAGTGAATGCATTCTTACATCTCCTGCATGCACTTTTTATACCCTGTTCACAAAGTGAAAACGGCAATATTAATCTCTCGGTGTAAATGCAATCTTATTAGCCGCAATCAAAACAAGAGACTTTAGTCTTGAAATATATACTCTAGCATATTCGTTAATTTAAGGATAGTGTCTAAAAGTTATCTACCATATATGAAGGCTCTGACTGATTTATTCTTGAATTACATTGTGAACAGGGTATTGCAAAGTCAGTTACTCCAAACTCGATGCTTTTTACTTTATTTTGCTTTGTTTTCATATGTTGTTTTGTGTTGATTTGTGCATATTTATGAATGCTGCCTACGTTTTTATATCTACTCTGAGCTAGACATGACCGCGAAGCTGTTTTTCGTATAAGTATTAGTTTTTGTATGTATGTAACAAGCAAAAGTACTGTTTCATATGTTTATACGTGTATATGTACGTATGTATATCTATACTGTTTCATTTTATGTATATACGTGTATATGTACGTATGTATATCTCCAACTGCTTCTTGCTTCTTTCACATATGTATGTTCATTTTGCATATGGCTTTCTAGGTTTTTAAAATCCGCACCTCGAGCCAGCCAAAAAATATTTTAGATTTTTAAAATGTTTAAAAGCAGTCTTATCGTCCTTTAAAAATTGATTTAAATTTGCAATGTAAATTAACTACGTTTTGAGTGTACATTACAAGAAGATTCGAATATACCTGCTCCTGCTGCCGTATTTTGTTTATTCTGGAATATCCTCAACTTGTGATGTTTGGTGTTTAAAGTACATTTCATGCCATAATTGGGTGTCTAGCGTCTGTTGCTCAGGGCTTTGCGTTGGGCTATTTTAACAATTTATAAAAAGTATGTTGTCTGTATCCGGTTGGGAGTGGGTCCGTCTAAGAGAGGTGAACCTGTTTGGAAAAAATAAAAAATAAAATTGTTTGGGCAAATGTCCGTCCAGTTAAAAGAATTTTCACCGTATATATTTAACGGGGTCGCAGTTGCCTCCTTCTGCCGGTTATATACATTTGTACAAAAATATTTGACCCCTTTTACCCATTTTCAATAGGTTCAGGATATACAAATTGAGTGGGATGCGCCATGGTATGGGTGGGCAGGGCAGGGCAGGGGAGCACGCGATTGCATAAATGGCTGGTGAACATTTTAACGGCCTAACCAAATGCACAAAACCACATCCATTTAAAATGGATCCAAAATGTATGTAACTGTCAGATAGGGCATATCCGTCCGTCTGTCCGTTTGTCTGTCTGCTTGTAACCATGCATATTGGTATATTCAATTTTAAAGTTATCTTGTTGCAACTCGGCATATAATCGACTTTTTTCTGCGGGGAATACATATGTCGAAATGGGCTGAAACGGACCTTATTAGCTTAAATTGGTTTCGGTCATAAGTTGTTGTAAGCACTTCTGTTCTTTAAAATATTCTACCTATAATCTGATAGAACGTGATATCTGTATTCAATCGGACGAGTTTTTGTGAATAATTGCAGCTAATCGTGTTTATGATATATATTTTTAACCAGGCTGGGTATTACCTACAGTTAAATTACCTTTTAAGTATCAAGTATTAAGTATTTTGGTTTCAAAATGGTATTTCACAATGTCTTATCAAAATTTTCTCAAGAAGCGGCTGCAAATTCTTATAGCTGCCATACTCAGGAAGTTATGATAGTTTTTTCTCTTAGTATTCAACTCTTGCTTCTAGCTTCAATTTGTATAGTCTAAAAATCTAGAATAAAAGTATAATTAATAATAGTATTAGTCAGGATCGGAATACTATAGCTGCTAACGGCACTTTATGCTAAAAATATTTTATGAAAATCTTTAGCACAATTTTCATTCTGACAAACCTTTGATCCAATCGACAAGTTCCTATTTGATAATTTGGGCCAACAGTTAATTTATTATAAATAATTAATTTATATGCATAGTATATCAGTACGCTAGACAAATTAATAGCTGAAATACTCAAGCAATTGGTTGATTTATTCACACAAAAATGACCCAGCTTATATATGTTTAAAGTTGTTCCATGTTGTTTTAGCTTGAATTTATTGCTAAACTTAAAACTCGCATAAATAATATGGTTTTTTATGAGTATGTTTTGGTTAAAGAAAATATTGCCAAACAATATTAACAATTTGTTTGTTGTTGTATTTATTTATTTCCGGTGACCTAACAATTAACTCAAATCAACACAAAAAAAATAAATAAAAACTAGACATGCTGCGCGTTAAAGTACAGTGGGTGAGTGCGATTTCGTGATTTGTTGTTAATAAATTTCACTAAAGGTCGTTAGCTTTTTATGCATATCCAAATAATCTCCAATGTAGTAGTAGACCATTTCTCTCATCAGTTCCTTTATATTTCGCATAATTATTACATCAGTTGCTCTAATAAAAGTTGTTTTTATATGAACTTTTCACCATCTCCGCTAACCCAAATATCTTTTTACGATTTTCCGTTTCTTTTATGTCTGCTCGCTGCCCATTTCCGGCATTTCGGGCCCCGAAAACTTAATATTCTAATCCACAGGCCTACGAATTTTAATTTTCGACGCGGGAACAGGCCATTTGTCGCCTGTCCCTGTCCGGCGAGGTTGTGGCAACAATCTCGCTGTCTGGCCGCCAGCCAAGTGGAACAGCAGCGTCTGCGGCTGCGGCAGCACAAAGTCTGGGTCTAAGTCCGATTAGCGGGATTGCGTGAGTTTTGTGTATTAGAGGACGCACATGTAAAACAATTTTGGAATATTATCGGACTTGCAATATAAGTAATAACGATAAGTTTATTTTAAAATAAACATGCACACACTGGAACATTTTCAAGGCGAAAACTAACATTTATTGTTTGCAGGCTTTACTTTTGCTTGTTTCCGTTGAAAGATTGTGCAATAAACTGACCTGGACGGGGGTACAGTGTTAATTTTATGTTAATTTTAGTTTAAATAATTCTAGATAAACGCTTTTCAGGATAAGAATGAATGGGTGTTGAGGTGTAAATATCCTGGCAGACATATACAAGATTTTGGATACATTTCTGTAATTACTTTCTGTACTCTTGTTCCTTGGGAGGAGCTATATAATATATCTCATATGTCAACCATATGAGACATTTTCAGCTTTTGAATATTTTAAAAACTCATCGTCATTTAAATACAATACTTTTCCCCGTTAGTTCCTACTTGATACATGGGTTCAATTCTTTCGAAAAATCTAGATCAACTCAATCCTCTTTCACATATATATTACAAATATTTTCAGTGGGTTGGGAGATACCTTTCTTATTTCGGTACACCAAAATATATAATTTAGTCATAAAAGATGACTATATTATAATTCCCACTGCATTTTTAGACGTGAAAACATGCTTTAAGGTGACAAGTATATACATTCATGCGCATGTATTACGGTACTAATATATGTTTTAACTTTTTTTTCGGTATGAATATACATTTTGTGGCACTGCTTGACTAAAATTTTTTGTGATGATTTTATTATTATGAAGTTAAGCCAACAAATTGGTTCATATCATATTTTTTACACAGCACAATTT